ACTTAACACGAGCTTCACTCCGCATAGAGAAAATGTAGAGTCGTCTCTATCTGCCTTAACAATCTTAATTTCACCTCGGTAAGGTCATCACAATTATGCCTTACGATGATTAAACCCTATCTATCGAAGGAATCTGAATGTAATACCGTTCAGTCATAGCGAGAGTGGGCGATAGTCACTGTAAGGTCGCATCGACCACCAAGAGGTAATTTATTAGGGTATGATGTAACCATCGAAAGACCAATCTTCAGCGGCTGCCGCATTACGGTGGAATAAAGTGGAACACGGCGGCGGGCATCTATCCGCGCGGAAATTTTAAGCAAACGCCGTGTTGCTAAAAAGCACGGACAGGCGTCATAACTCACGCTGAAACATGTTCAACTGTATCTGGAACGTTTGCCCGCGGCCGTGATTTTTGGACGAATAAAACGTGCAGAGATTTCTGAGCGTACGGAGTTGGCCGAAACCGGTCATTTCCTTGTACAGTTTAGCTCTTTGCTGAACCATTCACCTCTTCGTGGTTCTTAATTCTTTCGTACGTATGTTATTCACAAAATATTTAAGGCGAAACGTTTGCATACGTTTCATGTTTTGGCAGGTCGAGTTGTGTGTCAAAAGGTTGGTTGTATGAAAGGTTTTTATTTTTAAATGGATTTAAATAAGCAAATAATCGCACGAGCACGAGCCTTAGAGCATTATAATACAGGGAGATACAGTCATACACGCAAGGTGATTAAGCAGAGACTAGAGGTAATTTTTTCAATATACCGCTAAGACTCATCTCTACCTTGCCACTGAAAACTTTACCATACAATTATTCAACTCTTCTCAGCTTCCATTACCTCTATCTTGTTCATCCCATCCGGATTTCTACCACACAATTTTCTTACTACACCAACCATTACTTTAAAATAATTAACTCACTATATCAAGCACCAATGGAAATATTCAATTTTAGTCATTTCACGTTGGTCGGAGTTAAGTCCCGTAGAAAATTACGACAAGATTACCACAATTCATACATGAATCCTTGCGAAACAAATTATACGCAAAACTATGAAAAAAAAATCCTATCTTATTTCTAATGTATAACGTACCATCGTTTTTCCTTTGACGAACACATCCTAACCGATCCAGTTAATCACTATTTAAGTAATTTATTTAATACATACAATAAACATTTTAAAATTATTTTCCATTATCAAAAATCATGTACTCTTCTGCATTGCAGCGATAAGTAACAGTGTAAAGCATTGTAATACCACAGCTCTGAGTTAACACCAAGCGACAAACAGACAAACGCATAAAACGCGCCCTCCGGGCTGCCACCGCGAACTTCTACTGGAAACACTTTATCAATATGCAAAATCCAATCAACTAATGGACGTTGCTTTACCTTCTCGATCCCGACGTGAAATTAAAAAAAAACATAGTAGTTTAAAAATAAACTGGAAACATAGGAACGTGCATAACATTCTTGCTGTGGGGGCAGTGCATTCAGGACTCATGCACATTTACAAAAAAACATTACGAAATTGTGACCGGAAACTCGAGAACGCTCGCGAAATCTCTTTATATTGCACAAAATTACGGGCAACATTTTAGCGGGGATAAAAAATAAAAGCAATCTAATTTTTTAAAGTTCTCGCGTTTCGAGTCTTTCAACATCAAAATTTAAAAATAAAATATATACGAATCAGATACAGCATCGCGTGAAACCTAATGCGGATTACAGATTAAAAATACATAAATATTAAACATTTTTCCAAACTATAGACTATTGAATGACGAAATATAATTCAAGTGGTGGTGGTTTATATGCTCTTTTAATTAAACTGTGATTTAAAATTTTTTATCGTGTTAATATTATAGTATTTTACCTTATATTGTTAATTCTGTTAACGTTATTTTTAAAACACTCATGCACGCGCAGCATTAGGTTTCACACAATAAAACAACAATAGTACTAATACATTAAGATACAAGGGTAATTAATATCAACATTAACAGTTAGTGAAAAACATCCAAACACCGAAAGTGGCAAGAAAAGGTGATAGAAAGATAAAAAAAACAACACGAGGGGGGGGGGGACAGAAAACATCGAATAGGTACATCTTTTAGAACATCGATGCGCGCTCCGCACGCGGCTGCCGCCCGGGTATTTTGGGAACCTACAAAATTCTTCTACAATTCTCTTTCAAATTCTCTCACAAATATAAAATTATTCACATTTCATTTATGTAATGTGTACAACATTAGAATGGACCGTTACGGATGTGTACTGATTTTATTATATTTTTTCATTTTAAAGATTGGGTTTTGGTTTTTTTTACGGGCTCTCGTTTTATTTTTCCACGGTTTTCATTTACGGCCAGAACGCTTAAGCGTGTAAGTTTTCAATGTTTATTTATTTATTTTTAATTAATAGTTTCTCCCAATTCGTTTTAAAGTGTAATATTATATAAATTTTCATATTGTAGCATTAATATTACGAGTATGTACATCAGTAGGTTTCCAAAAAAACTATAGGTAATTGCAACTGGCAATTTCTTGATAATGTTGGTCAATTTCAGAAATGGAATTTTCGATTTTTTCGCTATCGTCCCCTCCGAATTGCCGAGCTTAAGTCACAAGCGATCCAGAGGCAATGGTGTCTCCAAAGTGCTGAATGGACAGGGCGTTAGGCAACGAGGCGTGTCGGAAATGCAGGCGAAGGCATCAGCCGTTTTCTGCCTTGGCCTCTGTTCGGATAGGTTTCCAATTAGAATTGATCCTCGGGTGCGCTTTTGTAGCGGCATTACGATACAAGTCGAGTTGATTTCAATCGACGCCGTTCAGTCGTAGTAGATTAAGCCCTTTTGTTTTACACCGCACCTTTAACTGTGCGATTTATTCGAGGGAAATGCAAAATAAGGCTGCATTTAAACCTAGAGCTGATCGTTTTAATGGACATTTGCTATCTTACATTCATCATTTAATCTTGAATAGATAAATTCTGCCCGTTTTTTTACATTTTATCATCAAATTAGACAATTTTAGAGTTTGGGTTAAACAAACTTTCGGTTATATTAATGTTTGTGCTTCAAATACCTGTTTACATAACGTAAAACGCGTGACGTTACATACGTCTTGGAATTTTATTTTAAATAAGTCCACGTATTTTTGTTATATTTTTACCGTCCACAATATAATATATATATATATATATATATATATATATATATATATGAACATTTACTGTGTAACATATTACAACAAAACGTACAATTTATTATTTAATTGTACACTGACAACGGAATAGGATTTTCGAAACAACTTCGAAAAACTCCCGTTTTGTCTCAAAAAGAAAATTACGAAATTGCCATAAATAACAAATAAAACAGATACACATACATTAAAGAGTAAAGCGAATGGCAGTTAAAGTCTACGTAAATTAGGTTCCCCGGCAGAATGACTACGGCAAACTCCGGGAGCGTAAAACTTATTATCATAAATCCAATGATATTGTACATTTGTGACACTTTTAAATGACAAATGAAGAGGAGCTGAAAGCAAACGCGTATTAAAGGGATGACCTCTCATATTCTTTGTTTAAACAAAAACCAAAATGTAATGAATGTTTTCGTTTTTAGTACATCATACATACGTTCATCATAACTACAAAAAATTGTTCAATAAATATGTCTAGTTTCTTTTACATATATAATTTATCAATATAAAATCGACACTTCCGTATTTATTGATTTGCCATCTTTGTAATGATATATGATTGATTGAGCAAAATTAATATATAAATCAATTACGAGTTAAAAAGTTTTCGTAAATTTTGTTCGTTATTGCTAAAGTACGTAATTTAATTTTCTTTGTGACTTTTCCATTTATAATTCTCTACTTCATATCGAAATATTTCAGAAAAAAAACGAAAGGAAGATAATGTTATTAACCATTCCATACCGAATAATGAAATAAAACAACAATAAATTAAAAAGTTTTGATTGAAAGTGACGGAATAGTTAATACATTTTTGTCATACTTTCATTGTATTTGACGTGTGGACGAGATAAAAACAAAATTATTAATAACCCCGAAATAACTGAGCCGAATAATGCAGAATGGCTGTAGTAATGCAATAAGTCATTAAACAGAAGAGGGGTTTATCGTCGGGAAAGGCATAAAAAGGCAGCTAATGTCTCTATTCAACTGCAGATAGCTGCTATGGGCGGTACGTTACCCTATGCCGTATTTCGCCTGCAGTTAGCCTCGCATCTTCGCTTCCCAAACCATATCGATTTACTATCCACTACTTAAACATTCAATTTAGCCGGCTGTTTTTTTTTTCCTTTTGCTTTACCCTCGACTCAATGACGCGTTTCTATTCGACAGACGGCCTTGAAACCGACGTCTTGATAAATTAAAAAGAAAACAATTACGCGCGTCTTTTGTGGCATAGATTAAAAATGTTACATGTCACAGTTTAGAAATATTTCCAATATACTTTCTGCTTGTCGTTTTGACTTGCGTAGGAAACTCAAAATCCATTCAAAAAGTTATGTTATGTATTTTTGTGGTACATATTTGGATAAAACTATTATATGATTTGAAATACAAAGATGGGAAAATAGTATATGCTGCGCTAGTTTTGCTAATGAATTTAGGCCAAACATTTTCATTTCATTGTCTTATGGTATTTATTATTTAAACTTAAATTATCAATTGAGATTAAACTTCAATTTTTTTATATTTTTCTTTTTTGTTATGAACGAGTCTAGTTTCTAATAATATTTTAACCGTATGTTTTTAGTGGAAAAATTTTTGTAAATTTTTTTTTGTTTCTAAAAGCGGACGGTAAACTTGATTTTCTTTTTCTTTTGTCTCTTTAATTTAATTCTTTTTTTTTTATTTTTCCACCATTTTGATTATTCGCTACTTGTATACGTACTTTTAGTTCCAACGATACCCTCGATTTTCATTTTCAAAATAAACGCTCGGCAATTGGATCATTTCGGCCTTTCGATTCCTGTGTGTCCTCCGTTTTCTCGCATTCGGCGGCGGTAATCGTTGAGCGGACGATGATACTGGCCGTATTTTAAGCTTGACTTTGACAAGATCAATTCGGAGCATCTCTGGACGGAGCGGGCCGTCACCGGGCCCAGTCCGCTCGCGGAGTTCTCGCAGTTTATCGATCTGTTTACAAACTTTCGGCCCCGAACAATGTTTAATGATTTCCACTCGCTCGGGCCGGACTATTTTCGAACGTCGCAGCGAGTATAAGGGCTCGCGTTTTTGGTGGCCCACACCGGGGCCACGTGGTTACGCAGATCCGCGGGGGAGGGGGCGGAGAGGTGGTCGGCGATTTTTTTTGTGATTTGTACAGTACCTCGAGACCGCGAGTCCCACACGGGCTAGCACATCGGACACCACGCGACCGCGGTCGGCGAAATCGGTACGTCCCGAAAATACCCGGGCGGCGGACGCGGCGTAGGTAAGCGACATTAGCCCACAACATCTGTTAATATGATCATTGTTAATTACATATGGGTTTGTTGTTAATATATTGTAGCCACCTGTCCCGAGGAGGGCGCTTGCAGGTACGTCGCTACGTCGTCCACCATGCAGGCTCGCGGGAGTTCGGGGAGGAACATAATACGCTAGAGGGCGCGCATATCGCGTGCGGGCTACGCGGCGCCCCGCGTCCGACTGGCGCGAGCACCGCGCCCCCGCCCCGCGCGGGCCCCCCGCCCGACGCCCGCCCCACCCCACAGCACGCGCAGGGCTGTGCGACGCGAGCTTTTCCGAATTTCAAACGCCGCGTGTTCGAAGACGCAAAAATTGAGACGCGGCTACACTGCGTCGCATTTCGAACATGTTGAAAAATAGAGTTTTTGATTTATAATTTAAATTTATATTAAGTTTTGAATCGTTATGTAGTAACAATATATAATATAAAGTGGTAAAGTTATTTAGCTAGATAATAATTTAACCGCATTATTCTTTATAAGTTTAAACATTTTAACAGAGTATTAACTCATGCTTTTTTTTATTTGTGAAGAAAAAATGCGTGTTTACAGTTTCTAACATTATTTTACCAATGATTTGACCTTATTTAATCAAGTCTCAGAATAACACATTTCGTTTACAGACTGGCTAGTGCATTGTATGCGCCATAAAGGGCAGCCACTACCAAAAGCGTCCGTAATAAAAGTCACAAGTTTTCCGCATCGCCAGCCCTCGGCCGCTACGTCGTAATGCATTCGCGGCACTCGCCGCGTCTCGGCGCCACTCGGACCCGATCGGTACGCGCTCGGCCCGCCTCGGGAAGCTCTTTCAAATTCGGAACACAGACATGACATATCGCCGTGCATTCCAATTGCTATCTTCCCTCCGTGTCTTTACGGTGGAAATTGAATTCACACGCGAACCACGTATCCCGCTCGCCCAGGCGTAATTGATTTTGAACTTTGTCTTTTGCGGATTAAAGGGAATATTGAAATGTTTGGAAAAATTTCGAGTGCCGTATTCGACTTTTGAAATATCCTAATTTATCAGGGACGCGGTCAAGCGTATATGGCCTTTGTCAGCATTAGTTAGAGTTCAATTTCGCATGTTGATGTTTTTCAGCTGACGCGTCCGTAAATGTCACGGAAGTATGCGTATGTGGGCAGGTGCGCGTGTGTGTGTTAAAAACACATCTTGGGCGGATCGGCCGCCGCGGTCTAAGGCGGATTTTTCCGACGCGATATTTTTTTTCCTTCTGACCTATCTTTTTATGGTTCGAGATTTAATAGGCCGTAATGTCTTTTCTTTCTTAATATAACGAACTATTCGAAATGAACTACTTAGATTATGCCACTGGCTGTTTACCATGTGATTTTTTTTCTTTACTCGACCTCGCCGAAGTGGATGCAGCGTTTACAATGTGACGTCACTTCCTTTGCGTTCTTTATTCTAAATACCTACTATTCTAAATTCAAATACTCTCTTTGTTTCGGGGTTTTCTTATGGGTGTTCTACATATGTTTTACATTTTTATGTTTTTATTAAATTCCTTCTCTATTCAATTACGTCCCTAATATTTTTTGGTTCAGTTCAAAATCAAGAGCGACCGTAAATTTAATTTAATCACGTTTTTATTGACAATGCATAATGATATTCCTTGATAATTAGCAATTATGACTGATATTTTAAAAGTATTCAAACGTATTTGTTTGACACTTATTCAAGTTGACACTTAGTCAAGCAGAGAATCAAGTAAATTAAAATAAAATAGCGACCCACAATAGTCACACAGGTGGGGGCAAAAGCCGCCTAATTACAGAGGATATAAGGGCATAGACCAGCACACGACCGCCGGATTGTCAGACTCGAAATATATCTTCGAAATAATATTTTTTGTAATTATTCGGAAAATATGCAGGTTTCCTCACAATGTTTTCCTTCAACGCCGAGCACTTGATAATTCAGCAGGTGATAAAATTGACAATTTCGTAGGTGCTGACCGACAGACCGGGGATCGAACTCAGGTTGCTCGAGTATATTTAATTAAAGGCGAGCGCCCGGAAACTGAGCCATCCTGGCTCACGTGGAAAATATAGCTCAAACTAATCACTACAAAGCAATGTTTTATACTTTTTTAAAAGTCTAGGGTATTCACTCGAATTCAGTTTTGGAGTCCTATTCGTATAACTTTTAGAGGTTTTGAGGGATTTTTCTAACGTGTAGAGTGGATCAACTGCACACCACTCAGTAAAATATATACAGGGTGGCTTTTCTAAAGGTGCCCAAATTCACACAGAATGTTCAAACTCGGTAGTATAATCGTTTATTGAAATAAAAACAAACTTTTTTTTAAAATAGATACACTTAAAAAGCCTCCCTGTATGTACAGATGTATATATATGTATATGAAAATAAATATCATTTCGAGCAAAGACAATATTTTTTATTATTGTGTAGTGTCTCCGGTTACAATTCGTATGTTGGTACCAGCGGACTTTATTGTCTCTGGGTGATTATAGTGCTGATTGCAAAAATTTTTTTGTCTTTGAAAGCAGTTCAGCCAATGTTCTTGATGTGCTCTGATGATACGAATATCCCTGAAATTTTAAATTCACAGATGATGATTTTATTTTTCTTATTGGTAGTAGTTTCTTTTTAACCGACTTCAAAAAAGACGGAGGTCTCAATTCATTCCGTGTATATTTTTATTTTTTTTATGTGTGTTCGCGGATAATTTCGTCGTTTATAAACCGATTTTGATGATTCTTTTTTTTTTGTAAAGGAGATATCCCAAGAGTCGTACCACGATACGCGGGTTGCATGAAAAGTACGCGGATCTGATGATGGCATCCCAGAGAAATCGAGAGCAATCCTCAAATGTTATAGAAATTGACAATTTTTTTAGTCCGGTTTGGAGTCTGCTTTTCTATTTTTGTTATAAATTATTCTGTTCACTACATACATACTTACTTAAATCTTTATAAGTCGTTATTGTGTTACTGTCTTTGAAATAATGTACCATATTTGTGTTATAATTAGTTGGTAATGTTTTATTGTCCTTGAATTAATGTACACGCTTTGTGTTGATCATAGTCTAGTTTAGTCTTTTTTTATGTTGGGTGCAATGCATTATACATATAAACCTTCCTCTTGAATCACTCTATCTAGTAAAAACCGCACCAAGATCTGTTGTGTAGTTTAAAGATCAGACAGCGGGACGACTTTGTTTCGTATTATGTAGTCCAATCGGATGTGAACCCATTATCTCCGGTTGCTCGGTGACGCAGTTGCAGGTCCGGGATTCGATTCCCAAACGGGACAGGAACTTGATTGAGTCAGTGAATGGGTGCTTATTCTGGCCAAACCGAACACAATGCAAAAATAACATTCAAAATCGGTTCATAAAGTACGGAGTTGAGGTAAAAAACACAAAAAAAAAACAATTGTAGTGAGAACCAACACAAAAATGCAGTTGAAGCGGATTTTAAGTCGGTTGAAAACAGTTCCACATGTCGCCAGAACACTAACACGCAAACAGCCTGATGGATGAAGGAAGGGTTTATCTCTTATTAAAGACTGTAGGTTGGTCGGCCAAAATAAAATAGTGAGGATAGCGTAAACAACTTTCTATTTTAATTAGACTACTTCCTACTTATTAGGACAGAGTAACTTCCTATAAAAAGGATAAGAGTGTTCTAACCCTATCACTGAAACATTATGCGCTTATATACAAAAATATAATGAGTCATCACAACTACATTACAAATCAATGCACTTATTAAATTACTAATACAGTTAATAAGATTGACCTATTAAATTATAAATTATTATTAAGCATGGTTTATTACATAATATTATACCAGATATGGTTCAATGTTTATTAAGTATAATTATTGTTATTGCTCGTATATTAAGCAGTGTTGCCAGTGGATTGTAACACTCTTTTATTCATACGGTCTTGTGATTCTGCAGGGGCTTTTTTGCGCAACCCTTTTGAGGCAAAAGACGCTCTCCTCATCTTGAGACGCTAATTCAGTAAGACAATAACTTTGCATCGTATTTTTTAATCACACTTTAAGCTCCGTTATTTACTATGTTAGATAACAAAGATACAGCATCCTTTTTATTGGTTTGTGCGTGGTATACGGCGACAAGCTTGTCACTTATCACTTCTGGGACGAAATACCATCGGAAACGTGATGAGCACTTCTATCTTCTCTTATTGTATTAGTAAACGGTCGTGAAAGACTTTCTATGTAGCTTTTTATCTCCATCGTAAAGTTGTAAGATGGCTTACACCAAAAATGGAAATATATAATAACACACACGGGAAGATTTAATTGTATTTCTTTTTTTTAAAGCGAAGTAAATTACACACACTGATTATTTTAATCGTTTGATTTCGAGATAGACAACTATTTGACTTTTCCGTTTCGCTCATACTAACATACAGAGTGGTTTTTAGGGTTCCGTACCCAAAGGGTAAAACGGGACCGTATTACTAAGACTTCGTTGTCCGTCTGTCAGCACGCTGTATCTCATACACCGTGATAGTAAGACAGATCATGTATTTCTGTTGCCGCTATAACAACAAATACAAAAAACAGACTTAAAAAATTATTTAAATGGGGCTCCCAGACAAAAGACATGATTTTTTTTGCCGTTTTTATAGATAATGGTTCGGAATCCTTCGTACGCGAGTTCGACTTGCACTTGACCGCCTTTGGAATTAAAAGTCAATAATGACATCTTAGTTATTACATCTTATCTTATTTTAGCCGACTGTGTCGTATGTAAGTCCTATACAACTAGCTGCTGCCCGTGACTACGTCTGCGTAGAATAAGCTGAAGGCGTAACATTCAGACAGAAAGACAGTTATACATAAAATATGTATATAAATTATAGCCTATGTTTTGTGTAAGCTATATTATTGTAAAGTTTCATTAAAATCCATTCAGTAGTATTTGTGTGAAAGGGTAACAAACATCCATCCATACATAGAAACTTTATTATAAAACATTCAAATATTATAAACGCGAATCTCAATCTACACTAAGTCAAAGTATCTTTTTTCAATATAGGCTTAACTTAAGCTCGTATTGTACGTCAACTACAAAAAAAAAGAGAAAAAAAAACTACCACCGGTTTACTAAACTAGACCGGAACTAGTCTAGTTCCTTTTGGTATTTTTTTTTGTGATGCAATTATAAAAAGTTATTTAGGTATAAAATCAGCAGCAGCCAGGGGTCTTGCAAATGCAGACCAAGAGGCATTTCCACACATCCTTGTCCTCAATGTATTCTTGGACATATAGTAGGCCCTTACCATTAGGGTAGCTTTCACCAATTGTTTGAAATTGTTTATATTTAG